TTCCGTGTCCGGCAACGGGACCGCGAGCCTCGGTGTTGCTCCCGCGCCTCGCTCAGCCAGTGAGCGGGAACCGGTCTGTATGTGGGATCCGAACCCTCGGACAGGAGCACCGCAGCGCTTCCCAAGCGGCGCACCATCCAGTGCGCTCAGCCAGTGAGCGGGAACCGGTCTGTATGTGGGATCCGAACCCTTGGACAGGAGCGCCGCAGCGCTTCCCAAGCGGCGCACCATCCAGTGCGCCACCGGGCCGGCCCCTCCTCTTTTGACTTTGAATACAAATACTTGAAAAGCTCCAACTGCTTTGCTCAGCATTCAGCTGTGAATAGTCTGACCCTGTCCACGACAATGGGAGAACAGAGAGCAGCTCTCAGATGGGGATTTAATGAAAGCTCTAAGCCCATGAGTGAAGCCCCAGGACAACAAGAAATAAAACCAGGAGTCATACAAAGACATAGCAAGAGTCACAGTTGAATCAAACAGCTGGAATTTTAAAAGTGAAGAGACATCTTTAACCCCAAATAACTGCTATATGCCACCAACCTTCCCTCCAGTTGGAAAGAAGTCACAGATGCCCTAAGGCAGAAGTGTTCTAAGGACCCCGGATCCCCATCGGTTCCCATAACAACCCAACATCTGGCACTTAAGACTACCAGTCCTGCAGGAAAAACTGAAGGCAAAACTAAAATAGTATGCAAATGGCACTTACAATCATCATTAAAACCATTGGTCCCATGTAAATGATGATGAAGAAAAATGCAATCATGGCCAAGGTCAGGATGCCTCTCACCCACCAGTTCTTCCATCTAGGTTAGAGAGTAGGGGAAGGAGAAAACACCAGTTAAGAGTCCAGAAGAAACCAAAGCACAAACCCAAGGGGTATGGCTCTTCCTGGAATCTGAAGGCCCTAAACTCAGTTCTTTCCAGAGCACCTCCCTCACCCTGACAGAGGCACTACCCACATGCTGGCACCAATGCCTTACCCACAACCAAACTCAGCAGGTGTTCCAAGCCTACAGAAAAATACACCCAGCTTATGTCTTAAGGGAAGTATTAGGCGGGAGGATGGGAGAAAGGAAGGAAGTGGGGGGGAGAAAGAAAAGAAAAAGAACGAACCCAAGGGAAATGTAGTGCCCTCTGCTTCTGCAACTACTTGGATGGTTTTCTATGGCCACCTCTATCTGGAGAAAAAACTGAACATCTTTCCTGCAGCAGGATCCTACCTTGCACTGCCCTCACATCATTACAGTGATGATGATGATAATACTAAGCAATGATAGTATCAGTTAACACAAATATATGCAAGGCATTTATAAGGATGTTATATATACGAATATTACTTATTCAACCCTCAACACAACTAGCTTTTACAGATGAGGAAATGGAGGCACAGGTCTCACAGCTGGCAAATGGTGAAGCTGCAATTTGAATCCAGACGTCTGGCTCCAGAATCCACATCTTTAATCACTGCACACTACAGCCTCTCATAGGGACAGCTGGAAGGCACACACAGGAACACTCTGAGATAATGCTTTATAGCTGGTGTTAAAAGGGCTAGGTTCTCAAGATCCAAAAATGTTAACCCTAGATTCACCTAAGTTGAGATGTTTCCCAATTCTTCTTGGAAAATTTAAGGGATTGTTCACAATGAATGTATGTGGAAGGAGGAAAAGTAAACTTTGAACTAGAAACGTGGGCTTCTCAGCGAAAAGCAGCCTGCCCATTAATCACAAACACAAGCATGATCTCCCATCTCACACTGTCAGCCACCTCGCCCACCCCTATTTTCTTTTGTCCACATTATTTCTCCTCTTTGGACTGCAACCACCCAGCCCAGCCTAGAGCACCCTTCCAGGGCCAGGTCCTTTCAGGCTGGGTTGCCCTCCCTCCTAGCCACCCACTGTAGGGAAAGTGAAAATAAATGATCAGGATCCCTCGAGGGGTTCAAAATCTTGCCAAGCATTTGATATAAATATGCATATGTGCCCAGGTGTTCCTTGGTTATTGTCTAATGTAATTGCATATGAGCGCCCAGGCATCCTGGGTTATCGGACTTAAGTATAAAAGACTGACGGCTCTGATCCACAGTGTTCCCCACCCCCGGAATGCCCGGGGGCATTACGAGGAGGCCACTACTGCTGCTGGAGGCTGTTGCTGCTTGAGGAAGCTGAGGACTGAGCTCCTGTTGTCTGCCAACAGTTCCTAGGATCTCTCCCAATTAACCTAGCTCATGGACCTGTATGTGAGTGGTCTAGTGACCCAGCCCAGCATGTGAGAGGTCTGGTGACCCAGTCTGTACAACAGGTTTGAAGGGTGTGAGCCCTAGCCCAATACCCACTGTACTCACAGTCACTGCGAAGCACTAGATTATACTCAGTGGAGCCCTGGGCAGAGGCAGGAGGGCCTGCCCCACACTCCCTAATGGAAATAGGCTCAGCCCAGAAGACCAGGCTCTCTGAGGGCTCTGGGTCTTCCATGGCATTTGGACTGGTGCAAGGCCCCCAGCAAGCACCTGCATCATTAAGCCAGGTTACCTTGAAGACAATTTGGAAAAGGCCCTATTGAGAACCTCTGGGGTATCATCTGCAGCGGCTGGCGGGGGAGCAGGTTCCACTCGGCTCTCGCTGTCCGACGCAGTCTCTCCATCTACCCTTGCTTCTGACTCCGACTCCTAGACAGCAGAAACACAGAAGAGGAAAAAGGCAAAAATGCTGAGTAGACTATTGAGAAGTATATCCTGTCATGGGAGATCTGTGGGAAAAGACCCCACACAGGGCCTGAGGACCTGGCACAGTCAGGTGACAGGACAGAGGGGACTATCAGCAATCCAGACACTGTTCTGACATGTTCCGAAGTGGCCATGCTCAGCTGAAACAGAGGTGTGCATCTGCACTGCATACAATCTGCTTGATCCCCCTTGCCTGGAAGAAGAGGGGTCAGAGGCTCAGTCCAGAAGAGGGAGAAAGAGCTCCTCAGTATCCAAAGAACAAAAAAAGGAGGTCGTGCCTGCTTTTACTTTTACTGGGGTTTATCCCCAAGTCCACCCTTGTGCAGGTATACCAGGCTTATCCTACATTTATATAAGGGTTGGGCTGTAGGCACCCAGGAAGACCCATCTGCCTCTGCAAACCCCTCTCCACCAACACTTGAATGACACAGGGCGCTGCCCCTGCCCTGCCACAGCACATTGTGGACTCAGAGCCACCAGGGCAGTCGATGGCACTGACCAGGCTCTCTCAGGGAGAAGCTAGGTGTGTAGACGATTGCCTCCATGGACCAGTTAATGACAACACACCCCAAAGTCCAGAGTATTACTTCCAGACTTCACAAGAGCATGCCGCACAGCTTACTGGAGTCAGTGCTTGAGCCAGGAATGGTGCGCCTCCATCTATTCCCCACCACTAGGCCCCAGGCGTCAGCAGACCCTGCAATGTCACTCACACAGAGCTGCCATCCAGGTCACAGCCATGAAGGAAACACCTACAAGAACCCCTCCTCCCAGCCTGGGAGAGGGGACCAGAACCACACCAGCAACAAGCTCTTTACCCAAAGTACCAAGGAACAGGCTACTACTCAGATCTTTTATTTTTTAGAGGAATTTAGAATAGTTGCTGTGAGAAGAGGCAGAAGAGAAATCATATTACTTTTAGACAGTGTAACAATACTACTCAGAATTGTTAGAGCCCCTCACGGTTTGAAGAGCATTTTCTGAACCTGTGAGCTTCCAAGCAGTACTGGGAAGAAAGGAGGAATTCAGAAAAAGCCCTATTTACAAATAAGAAATGGGCTTTGGGAAGTTAAATGTCTGGCCCAACATATCATATTAACCCACATCTTCTGACTTCAGTGTGTTCATCCCATTAAATTTCCTTTTATTTAAGCATCTTAGAATCCATTTTATTCTTCAGTAAGAAATCTGGAACAAAGTAAACTAGAAATGGCAAGAGGATGTTTCACCACATCTTCAAAGATTTTGTCCTATATGTGTGCAAACACAGAAACAGTCACATACCTTTTTAAGCTGAACTAACAATTTGAATTTCCTGGACAACTAACAAACACATGAAACTGAACACTATTTTCACATGTTTATTTGCCATCTGGACACCTTCTTTTGCGAAATATCTGTCAAGTCACTGGCCAGTTTTCCTACTGGGTTTTCTGCCTTGCTTTTCATTGACTTGGAGTTTTTCATGCGTTCCAGATTTAAGGACTTTGTGTTACTAATGTTCTCCCAGCCTTCTCTAACACCCTCAACCACCTCTGCCCCAGGCAAGTTTAGACACTCCAGTCATTTGCTCTCCTGGCACTGGACCTTCTCCCTCTCAAGCATAGCCATAATGGGAACTTAGTGGGAGGTTTTTGTAATTGTGTGACCATAGCTCCCTAAAGACAGGATCATGACATCTTGCTATCATTAAATTTCCATGCCTGGCACACAGCAAAATACTTACTAATGGATGGAAAGGAGGAGGAGAGGAATTAATTCCAGGTGTAGTGAAGAGATATATATCCCCTGCCCTCATGGAGACAGCTATTTCTAAATTAATTTACAACTGTGATAAGACCACAGAACTGAGGGCCTCAACTAGTATGGATTGCTGATACAAGAGACAGCTGGTTTTGGCAAAAGACCTCTAGGCATGAGCTTGTCATTAGGGTCCAAGGGAAAGAGCCACAGCTTCTGATGTTGGGGTGCTGCTCCTTACTCTGCTACAGCCAAGCCAGGTGCCTCTGTACTTCATACTCTGAAGTCACCCAAGTGCCTCTGTACTTCATACTCTGTTCCCACCTTATAAAAGGGGGCCAGTGGGCCAAGCCCGTGGCGCACTCAGGAGAGTGAGGCGCTGGGAGCGTAGCGACGCTCCCGCTGCGGGTTCGGATCCTATATAGGACTGGCCGGTGCATGCGCTCACTGGCTGAGCGCGGTGTGGGCAACACCACACCAGGGGTTGCGATCCCCTTACCGGTCACGAAAAAGACCAAAAAAAAAAAAAGAAACTTTTCTAGGGCCGGCCCGTGGCTCACTCGGTAGAGTGCGGTGCTGATAACACCAAGGCCATGGGTTCGGATCCCATATAGGGATGGCCGGTTTGCTCACTGGGTGAGCGTGGTGCTGACAACACCAAGTCAAGGGTTAAAATCCCCTTACCGGTCATCTTTTTAAAAAATAAAAATAAAAAATAAAAGGGGGCCAGTAAGGGTCCACCTTACTTGTGGGTATTCCCTGAAGAAATATAACCAAACTCTCACCCAGAGCTGTGTCCTACTCCACTGCCCTGAGAGGTTCTGAAAAGCAGCAACAAGAATTATCCCTCTCCGGTTAGACTGAATGAAGACCGAAGCATTCAGAACTGCTTTCCATTCTTTTTTAATACTGACATGCACATCCCAACAGCCACCACCCGTAACATAAGGTAAGGATTCTATGATTAGGTAGCTCTGACCTCTAAACCTCAGGGCTTCAAAATGCAAGCACTTGGGCCCCACACAGGCCTCCCACTGATGTGCTCCAGGAGCATCTAGAAGTCACAGGGACCGAGCTGGCACACAGCAAGTGAGAGGGCACACACTTCAACAGGTACACGGTTATTTTTAACTTATCTATCCTGTTGTCAAGGAGACTCACAAAGGCTGCTGCTTCCCTAGGTGGGGAGAGGCAGGAATGAAGCCCAGGCAGGGTCCTGCAGGGAGAGGGGGCACACAGTTCCCGCCCTGTGCTAAGAGTCTCCCTGGACCTTCCAGGTCCCTTTTGTAAACCACTAGCCCAGCACAGCATCCTGCAATACTGCCAAACCTGACTCCTCTCCCTCCTTGTAGGAAGGGGTGAAGTGAAGAGAGGTATTGGGAAGCAGAAAGTAGTGAAAGGAGATATCACAAGGACATTGTGATTGTTGTTATTGCCAAGACTTCCGGGTGACTGGGATGAACAACTAAGAAACAACGTAAACACCCTAAAGGAAAAAGTCTGAAAGAGATTAACATTCTAGGTGTTTCCTGCCATTAAGCTGGTAACTTCAGGTTCCCTGGGCCTCACCTTAGGCCCACTGAATACACATTCTAGAGCCCGTAGCTGGAGGCATGCTCTGAGCAGGAGACCAGCACCTACAGGGCCAAACAGGCGGAAAGGGTAAATCCGAGAGGGGAAAGGCCACAGCCCATTGTGATGAGGTAGATTGATTTAGCTTATGCCATTTTTACTGTTTGAAAAGTGTTCTTGTTTGAAAGCCCCCCAACACCTGTGGTAAAAATTAAAGGTTAAAAATTGTCCTGTACTTAGAAAAATTCTAAGTTCTGCCTGCCTTTGCTATTTTCCGCCTATGCTGTCCCTGACTGATAACACCAAGAGCTGTATCCAGATGTATCTAGACAAGCTGAGGAAACCACCCTGTGAAAGTTTTTGCCGTCCCTACGTGATTAACTGGCTTCTTTCAGCTTCTGTTATCAGCTTGTGCTAGGCCTCCCCAAACCCCTTCCTCATGCCGGGAGGGAGAGAGAGAGGGAGGGAGGGAGGGAGGGAGGGTGTGTGTGTGTGTGTGTAACTATATGATAACTGTGTGTGACTATATGATTTTTTGCCTGTGTGACTATATGCCTTTAAAAGACGCCTTAACGGGCCGGCCCGGTGGCGCACTGCTACAGTGCGCCGCTTGGGAGCGCGGTGGCGCTCCCGCCGAGGGTTCGGATCCCACATACAGACCGGTTCCCGCTCACTGGCTGAGCGAGTTGTGGGCTCAGTGCCGAGGGTTGCGATCCCGTTGCCGGTCCCAGTCTGGTACGGGCGCGACACTGAGGGTTGCGATCTGTTGCCGGACACGAAAAAAGACAAAAAGGAAAAAAAAAAAAGACGCCTTAAACTTAAACTCACGGCTGCTTCCTTCCAAGGCTTTCTTGGAGGAACAGTCGCCGGCTGGCCAATAAAAACCCCCTTTTAAATTCTCAGTTGGGTGTTCTGGTTCCTTTTCCATGCAGCAGCCTCACAACACCATGAAGACAGAAGACAGAGGGGGCAAGTCAGCCAGCCCCCGGCTCCTGATCCCCAGCCCCCCAGGTGTGGATAACTCAAGAGAATGGGCCATAGGAACAGAAACCTAGGAGAACCTGGAGACCTGAGGTTTTCTGGCTCCTCCCCAGCCCACAGACAAAGGCCTTCTGCTTGGGAAATGGTTAGTGACTCCTGGGTCAAGGCATGAGTGCTGGCAGCAGCTTCCACAGTGGGCCTGGAAGGAAGCAGGGATCTGGAACCCAAGTTCCTGTCCAGAAGAAACTGAGCATGTTCATCAATTTGCTCCTCTGGGGGATGGCAAAACAGATAGATGTCACAAAAAAGTGTCTGCAGGAGCAAGCAACAGCCAATCCAGGAAAGCAGGGCCCTGGGCTGGCTCTGATGCTCATTACATTCAGCACAAGCCCATTCTCTAGTCTTCACAGTGGGGAAAGGACTCCCTATCTCAGATGGTTGCTGTGATGATCGTGTGGGAAAGCAAAATATTTCAGCCCAAAATATACTTCTTTGGTGTATTTCAAAATGGCTGATTTAGGGAGACTAGTCTGGAAAAACTGGAGTATCTAGAAGGCGACATTTTTGTGAGAAAATTTTACATCTGTATACGCACACGGCAAGGACCCTATTTGAGCTACTATCCATTCTGAGGGTAGCTGCAAGAT